AGCAAATGTTTTAATCACTTGGCCACGCGAACATATTCTTTTTTTTTTTAAAGCTTTGTCGGATATCAGTCATTTAATACAGACGCAGATGAACGAAGTATTCCATAACACATTCGTGTTTTCCATCGCGAGATCAGTGTATTGAAGGTTTGGTGTGGCAAAGCACAGTTGGGAAAAATGATCTTGAAGAAAAATCAATATCCTTTAGCAATTACTCCAAGAAATATGACTTCAAGAAACCATGAAAATACATTAAAATGGAATGAATACCATGAGGGTAGATACCCGAAATTTGTCATCAAAATTCAGTATGCGTAATTATAAAATGCCATATCATTTAAATGCCTAAGTGATAATTTATAGCAGATTTAGTATAACAGATAAGGAAATTGATCATAGGATAGTTTCGCACAACACCGGCAGATGCTACAGAACTAAAACATTAACTAAACATTTGAGTAATCTACATAAATATTGAAAATGTTGAATTAGTAAAGTATAAAGACATCAAATACATACCTTTCCATTTGTGATAGTGTTAAAAAACGACTACGCAGCCTTGCGGGTGATGAATTATTTTCTATCTTACAACCACTTTCTCCCAGACACACCGATTCAACTTACTCAATCACGATTTCTATTGAAAATGTTCAGATGAGCTACATTTCTGGATTTCAACAAATCTAACCAAACCAAGAGCCTGCATTGGGCAGACACTGACGCGAAATACACTCATTCCCTTCGTAATCTTTTAGGAGGTGGAAAGTTCCACTGCGATAGCTTCTCAGGAACTGCTTCTTTGCGAAAAAAATCCCAAGAGGATGCTCTCTCGGCCATTAGAGTTTTATCCTTTTAAAATCAAGGGTTAACTGTTATCTTTTCCACCTTACTATTAACGCTCACACACAGCCGCCTTCGGTAACCGTTTACCTTGAACTTTGTACAAGGTGAAATTATATATATATATATATATATATATATATATATATATATAGGCAGCAATTTTTCATTGATGCATGTTTCATTAAATAATATAGGCAAGTTTTGTCTATTTATTTCTCATACTTAATACTTCTCGTTTTCACTCTCGCGTGGTCATGTGTGACGTCACGAGCTGCGACGCGATTTTCGTTTCCGCGTCTCGTATGCACTAGTTAGTCGTTGCTTTGAAATTTTTAATGCAGCAAAAGCAGACTATCATTCTTGTTTCGTGTATTGGTTGAGATCTTGAAAAGTAATTGTCATCTTTGAGAATGGCTTGTGTAAGCCGAATGCTTAGATTGGATTCAAACATTACTTTACATTAGGATTTACTTTCGTCCTTCAATGATAATGTTATTAAGATTATCAGACAATATGAAAGGAACTTCCTTAAAATAAATGGACAAAACTTGTCTATATTATTTAATGAAACATGCATCAATATATATATATATATATATATATATATATATATATATATATATATATATATATATATATATATAATGCAAACATCTTATCATCAGGATTTCTGCAATAATCGATAAATTCTTCACAAAATTACTCATTTTCACCCTATCATTACTTCGATACGATTGTAACGGCAAAAAAAGTTGTAAACCCAAATTTTAAGTAAATTGAATTTGCTAAAATGGTACATGTCCTCGGGAGAGGTCGTCGGTGTATAGATATGGAGAACGTGGCAAATGAAATCCTAATGCGGATGAATACTCTCACCTTATTTAATTTATTTATCAATTTATTTATTTTAATACCATGTTTGACATTAACAACTAAGCATATTGTCACTAAAAAGTGCTACTCGGTGACTGTAAAATTTGATTATAGAAACATGTGTGCGTATTTCGAGGTTTATGAACGCTAATGCAATATCAGTTCGCGTCATATTTACTCACCTAAAGAGAAATTGGAAAGAGGGCTCACTTGTAAGAATTGGAAATGTCAACTCAGTGGTGGCACTGAAATCCGATTTCGCATTGGGATAACGAAAATGCCTTCTAAAATCTAAGAAATGTACTAAGAAATAAGAAAACTTAAAAAAAAAACCCAAAAAACAAACAAACAAAGAAACCAAACAATTTCAGAGAGAAAAAAAAAGACGAGGAAAGAGCGTTTAGAAACTCACTGGATATATCGAAGGCAACGTGAACAGGATGAGGCAGCGGTCAACTACCTGACAAGTTCATGTGAATAGATGGTAAGAAAGGGAATAGGATGGGTGATAAAAAGACATACATTATGAAGAGCTTCAAAGGATAAGAAGTTGTGGAGAATCTTGTAGGGACACGTCACACAAAAGAAAAAAATGAAGTAAATTGGTTCGGAATTACCTTGTGAAAATGAACACCAGTCAAACTTTAAACTTTAGTCCTTCTCTTTTTTCTCGATACAAATGTAATTTTCGGACACTGTCAAAGGATTGGCTATCTACTGGCGACGTCATATTCAATCAGGTGTAGAACGATAACTATCTGCAGAGTGTAGCATTAGATGACATAAAATGCGACACAGAAATTCGACGGAACATCGGAAGAGAGGAAAAATCGCTTCCAGATAATAAGCGAACTATTAAGAAGTATTAGATTACATTGGAGACAAATAATTGTACTGAAGTGCGATTTTATTCAGTAATCTCCAACATGGCAACTTCACAGATGAAGCAACAATGACAAGGGAAGAAATATAATAAGAGAAAAAGTCTCGTGGAAAATAGCGAATATGAAGAAAAGGACATATGTTGTGCAAACCGCAACTAGTAGCATAATTGGAATATTTAACATTAACAGTATATATTAGTACATATTAACATATATATTAACAGTATATATTAGTACATATTAAATGCAAGAGATGCCGGCAGAAGCAGAGAGTAAACTTTTTAACGAGTTGGTGTGAATGAATGACTGAATCGACCGTAGTCGGGATTACCGAGTCAATGCAAACGATCTTTCCTGAGCTCCATAGCATTTGCCAGGGCTACATACACTTTTAAATTCAGAGTTTTCCGTCTGCTAGACCGGTTACTATCCAAGGCAATAGAACGTAGTCTATCCTCATATTTACCTGGGGAGAGAAGTGTTGGATTCATATCTTTCCCAAGCACGTAAGTGAATGTAATAAATCAACTGGAATTCGAACTCGGTTCTACGATTCCACAATCCGTTACTCTACAGTACCTCCGTGATTGCCACAACACGGACAAAAATGGGATAGCAAAAGAACAAAAATCAGAAAAGCAAGAGAAATGTTATTTGGAGAACCATGATTGCTCACTGGAAGGACTGCGAACATAAAATTTGAAGGCATTGGCTACAAAAAAACAAAACAAAAACAAAACAAAATAAAATTATAATGCTTCCTTCGGATTGATTTTTCATTTGTTTAACGGCATATCAACTCCTTTATGGGTCATTTAATGCCAAAATTAAATTTTCTTGGGTGATTCAAATTAATAAAAATATGATATGTTATTCTGCTTTCACAGTTGAATACATGGTAGATGATACTCAGCATTTAGGCCTATACATTTTTGTTTGGGCATAATTAATAGTGGGCAGTTATATTTATTACGTTGTAGGTTGGTATAAAGTAATATTTTGGTATACGGTCTGATTTAAAAAGTTGTAGGATATAAGGATTAATGTCATAAAAGTGTCATCGAAATAGGTATTATTAGTAATTTTTATGTATAACGTGTATTACTGGTGCTTTTTACTATAAAGGTGTTTTTATACTTTCAGAATGTTTGGTTTGGGTGGTCACTATTTGCTCATAGCTGGGCCCTAACAAGTGTACCTACCCAGGTGAGGATGGACCTGGGAACAAAAGAAATTAAGAGGTGGTTCCACGTTCTTCAAAACCTTCAATCTCCTGATAAGAAGCATTGCTGCCAGATGTAGTTTATCATCATACCCACGACTGTTTCATTCCGAGAATCCGAACTTAAGATAATATTGGCAACCTATTAAAATTTATTTTTATTTTACTACAGATAATACAAAGATGAGAGCCATTCGTGGTAGATATTTATTGAATGAAGTGTGTAATATGAATATAAGGAAGATAAAATTATCAGGATAGGGAGGATAGATTACGATAGACTGGAAGCGGTTAGCATTGCAATGTTTACGTAAGCATTCATCCGATAGTTCACTCCAAAAAGCAGAAGTGCTCGGTAAATAAACAAAACTGTTGGACTGGAACTTTCTCCTTACAGTTCAAATACGGAGGAGATGTGGGTGGTTCGACTTCATGGAAGTTGCATAGCGAATCCCTAGCTAAAAAGAACAGCTAGAATTCATGTGTAGTGTTTATCTGAAGATTTGGAAACGGGAGACGCGACAAAGTAGAAATGCACAGCCTTGCGTTTCTGAGAAATAGATTTGTAAAGACGAACAGAAGATTGGCTGAACGGTTTTGAACTATGCAAATTCTGGAAGGTGAGGGCTGAACAGTTCCAGTCCAAACATGCCAGCACCATTTAATTATTGGTCTTATTTGACTAAGCCATCTTCGGTGAAGTCTGACACGAGAATGAGCCAGCCAGGTTTCCAATGTATTTAGTAGTGGTTCGTTTGTATGTGTTTCGGTTGACGTCTCGAGAAATCTTGAAGCCAAGAAGACGTTTAACTCATAATATTTTCTATGTTTGTTCGAATAGAAATTTTATTTTTAATTCGTGCAATTTGGTTTTATATATATATATATATATATATATATATATATATATATATATATATATATATATATATATAGATAGATAGATAGATAGATAGATAGATAGATAGATAGATAGATAGATAGATAGATAGATAGAAAAATGAAAGAAAGAAAGACAGATACAGACAGAGAATAGCTAGATAGATAGATAGATAGATGGATAGATAGAAATTAAGAAAGAAAGAAAGTTAGATAGATAGATAGACAGACAGACAGACAGAAAGAAAGACTAAGAATAGATATATAGATAGATAGACAGATAGATAGAGAGATAGACATTAAGAAAGAAAGAAACTCAGATAGATAGAAATTAAGAAAGAAAGAAACTTAGAATAGATAGATAGATAGATAGATAGATAGAGAGAGAGAGAGAGAGAGAGAGAAACAAAGAAAGAAAGACTAAGAATGGATAGATATAGAGAGATAGACATTAAGAAAGAAAGAAACTTAGATAGATAGAAATTAAGAAAGAAACTTAGAATAGATAGATAGATAGATAGATAGATAGATAGATAGATCGAAAGAAAGAAAGAAAGAAAGACTAAGAATAGATAGATAGATAGATAGATAGATAGATAGATAGATAGATAGGCCATCTTCGGTTAAGTCTGACACTTCCGAAATCACTAGAATGAGCCGGTCAGGTTTCCAATGTATTTAGCAGTGGTACATCTGTATGTGTTTCGCTTGACGTCTCGAGAAATCTTGAAGCCAAGAAGACGTTTAACTCATAACATTTTCTATATTTGTTCGAATCGTAATTTTATTTTTAATTTAGCTAAATTGTTACTCCGAAAGTCTAAAGAGAACAAGTGTCTTGTTGAAATTTCTATTCCTTAATAATAGTATCGACCGTTAATTTTGCTGCATGACAGAACACATGTTCTGTTTGCAAATGCCACGAATAAAACAAGATTTATAGTGGAATGTTCTTCCAGTGGCTGCAAATTCATCAGTTCTTTCATATTGTCAGGTTCTTTGCATTTCGTATCGAAACTTGTTTGGTCATCATTTCCAACATTTTCTCGGTCACTAGAGTCTATATCGACTCACCATTGGGGAGAATTCTTCTATTGTGTTACAATATCATTCTCAAGAAAGTAATGTAAGATAAACAAGGAAATATATTGATGACTGACATTAATGATACCATTTGTTGAATTGGATAAAAAAAAGACAAAGAAAAATTGATCGGAACAGATTATATATATATATATATATATATATATATATATATATATATATATATATATATATAGAGAGAGAGAGAGAGAGAGAGGAGAGAGAGACAGACATAGAATTCTAGATAGATAGATATTAACAGTTTGATATAGACATATAAGTTATAAACAAGGACACAAGGGAATACACTAGATGAAATATAGGCGCTAGATAGATAGATAGATAGATAGATATGAATCTGAGGACAGTCTGAGATAGACAGATAGTTACTAACAGGAGATAGATAGATAGATAGATAGATAGATAGATAGATAGATAGATAGATAGATTGGTAAGTATGTATGTATATATGTACGTAGGTAGGGAAAATATTTTGATAGATATAGAGAATTTGGTATAGCAGAATGTTGTATGACATAGTTAAGAGCTGGCTGAGATAGATAGATAGATAGATAGATATATATATAGATAGATAGATAGATATATAGAAATTAAGAAAGTAAGTTAGAATAGATAGATAGACAGATAGATATATAGAAAGAAACAAAGACTAGGAATAGATAGATAGATAGATAGATAGATAGATAGATAGATAGATAGATATAGATAGATAGATAGAAAAAGTAAGAAAGAAGGCAGACACAGACTGAGAATAGATAGATAGATAGATAGATAGATAGATAGATAGATAAGTAGGTAGGTAGGGAAAATAATTCGATGGATATACACAATGTGGTAAGAGCAGACAGAGATAGACACATTTATAAATATTCAAAGCCTTAGATATAATGGAGATGGATCGATAAACAGATAAACCGGTAAAAAAATAATAAAAAAAAGTAGGTACTGGTGAGGAATTAAATGTATAATCTTTATTCCGGTGCTATTAACCTTAGCTTCTGTGAGAGATGTTTCAATTAACATGGCATTCTGTGTAGGCTGCCTCGCAGAGAATAATGTAGCCGCCCGCAGTTTCGTCTCTGTTGGAGTCTGGCTACTGCTGTCTTAAACAAGTCTTTTAATTTAAGACAGACGTCTTCTTGCACTTATTTATTTGTTCAATTTCTCATATATACACTTTTTTTTATATCTTTTCATATCGACTTGAAGCATTTTATACATTTTCCAAGTTATTTTTTTAATTGAGAAATATTGAAATAATGTCGTGCATTTTCTTTATGTTGAGTTTGGTTTTGTTTCGAAAAGTAATTCAGGAAAAAGTAAAAAAAAATAGCTGTTTAGGTATCTTTTTTTCTCTTTTTAAATATTGCTTTAAATTGATAAAAAGTAAATGAAGAATTTAGATATTTTTAAGTCTTATTCTTTTTAAAATATCGATCATACATCGATGTGATGAAAAAACTAGTCTTAATTATGGGGAGAAATTCGAAGAGAAACAGCCGATAGCAATCTATGAAACGAAAAAAAAAAACTATGAGATTTAAAAAAAAAACGATGTTTCGAAAAGGAAACTGAACAAATAAAGACTAATATATCAGCTACTATTAGTAGAATGAACTGATAATATGACGTTGAAAAGTCCGATGCGAATCCATGTTACTTACATATGATTGTTTTAACTTCGATTGCCAGTTATGTTTTTGACCAAATCAAGCAGATTCCATCCATATTATTAATCTTTGGGTGCCCCAAATTATTGGATCCATGTTCGAATCAAATCATGTGATGATAAATATCATTGCGTTTAAATTTTTGAAGATCAAAGTTGTTTCGAAAACAATAAACCAGAAGAGGGCTCCACAAGCGAGAAGTACGAGAGACGAAACTTACAGTTATATTTATCAATTTCAACAGTGAAATTGCGAAACATATTTGCTAATCTATAACTGTTTTTAAATTCGTAAAGTCGGGGTACCAAAGAGGAAAGGTCATCAGAACAATTACCATGAAAATATTTATAGAAAATTCTAAGGGAAGCAACGTTACGGCGGTGGGAAAATGACTGAAGAGGAGATGCCAGATCAGGGCCGACAACATTGCAGATTCGTCTTTGTTATACTGTACTTAACATCCAAAGCACGAGAATCAAGTCTACCGCTATTTAAGACATTGCTAGTAAGTATGAAGAGATGATTTCCTGTCTAGTCCGAGCTAATTGCTGAGAAAGTAAACGAAACCTACTCGGCTGTATGTAGCAACTCTAGTCTAATTTAGAGGAGGCACGCTGGAGTAATTGTAGTAGCCTTGTTAGGGCCAGAAATAAATACACAAAGAAAGGAACTGAGTTAAACAAATATATTAATAAAAGCAGTAATACAAACATATACAAACGAGAGTGTTACAGCAAGAATGTTCGGTCCGACTGTCAGAGCTGGCTGCTGGAAACTTCCCTCTCCAGATGGCAGTACCTGCTCCTATTTATAGCTGGGAGGATCCATGCGTGCGTGGGTAAATTACCATAACAGTAATGGATAACAGCTCTGGTTGAGGAATCGGAGAGCCGATTTCGAATTCCAGTTGAATCAATGACATTCATTTACGTGCTAATACCCCTGGGAAAGGTATGAATCATCTTCTCCCCCAGCTGTGGGTAAATAGCAGAACACACCGGGTTCTATAGCCTTGAATGACAACTGGTCTACCTCAGAAAGAAATGACAACCTACTGCGTGGAAAAATCTGCCTCGTCAATCATGTATCGAAATATACATGATCTCTTAAGCGTGTATCACGCTGTCTGATTTAAGCACTGATAACAGATACGCTACCCTCCTACACAACAAACTCATTACCGTTGACACTGGAGTATTGATTTATATGTAACAGTGGCGCAATATCTCAACAGAAAAATTTATAGTACTGACCAATTAAAACATATACGCCAACCTCATTACGCAGTCCAGCAATAAATATAAAACTTTAATGAATACATCTTATCAGGAATCTTGTACAACAAACCAAGACAAAACTGAGAAAGTTGGTAATACTGTTAAGAGAAAAATATCAAAAGCTAGATTTCAGTGTTTTAAATAAAATATTGGTTCAATGATTTAAATTAGCATACCTTTTACAGCCCTTGAACTTTAAAACAAGATCTGGGTCTTCAACACCATCTTCAAGTTAGTCCTACATTGGGCTCGGTAATTTCTAGTTAGCAAGCAAGAATAAAATCAACTATTTCAGATTTTATCGTACATTCCTTTCTCCTTCGTCTTCTTTTCTTCTTCTTCTTCTTCTTATTATTATTATTATTCGTGATTCTTTGGGGAACATAGGGCCGCAAGGACCTACTCTCATGACCTCCGTCTTCTCACTCGCTTATCTATATTGTTATTCTTCTTGCTCTTATATAAGACTGTAAACCTTTTTCCTTTTTCTTTTTTTACTCACGATCAGAGTGTAGTATCAGTTCGGTCATTTATCTATATAAATAGGAAAAACATACTAGTAAATGAGAGGAAGAAGAAGGGTGAAAGCGTAGAAAGAAGAAAAGGCAAGATATAAATAAAAAGTTGGGGAAAGACGAAAAGAAAACTAGGTGAAAAGGAAAAAATCTATTTATATCTTGAGTGAGGGAAAATGTATTGAATTGAAAGGAGAAACATAAACAAGCTTGCTGAATGGACATAACGAAAGACGATGGTCAAAAAATTGAAAGGCGTAAAAATTGTAATGCATCAACATTTTTTATGAAGAGATAGAGCAAAAGAAAGGTGAGAGAGAGGATGCAGTAATATATATATATATATATATATATGCATTTCTTTTTTTCTTTTTTTCAAAAATGAAATCAAACTACATTTATATTACACTTTCATAAATATTGACAATTTGTCGATGTTGGTGTTGGTTACACGCCAGATTTCTGAGCGGGAATGTAGGACCAACTTGACGTTGGTATCGAAGATCCGGATCTTGTTGTAAAGTGAGGAGGTTGTTGATCTCCAGAATGGAGTGTTGAAAGCGTGTTGGGCTTTATTGATTCGGCACTTGATGTCTTCATCTGTCCCCTCATCTTTACTGGCAACGCTTCCCAGGTAGAGAAACATGACTTCCTTAATATCTTCTTAGTGTAGTCGCACTGGGTTATCTTGTTTCCCTTCATGACCTCCGTCTTCCCATTTACCAACCGATGTCACAGGAACATGCTCAATATTAGGTGACCGGAAGTCGTCTTCAACGACCAACTGTGGGACAGGACCAGACAAGGCCCAATCGAAATTGAGATCAAGAAATGGAAATGGGTATAGATCGGGCATCCACTCTGCAAGCCTGCTTCTGGTGTCACCAGACATGCCCTTGACTGGGATCCACAAGTGAAGCGAAAAGTAGGTGGACCAAAACAGACTTGACGCAGAAGTGTTGACGCAGATGTGAAGGCAGCCAGCACGACATTGGCCAAGCTGAAGAGGATCGTCCGGAACCGTGTCTGTTAGAGAGGTGTTGTTGTAGCCCTATGTCCCCCAAGGAATCAAGAGGCAAGAAAGAAACGGAAATGGGGATGGATCGGCCACACACACCGCAAGCCTGCTTCCAGTATCCCAAGACAGGCCCTTGATGGAATCCACAAGGGAAGCGAAAAGTGGGCCGACCAAAACAGACTTATCGCAAAAGTGTTGATGCAGAGGTAAAGGCAGCCGGTACGACATGGGCCGAGCTGAAGAGGATGGCCTGTGACCGCATCCGTTCGAGAGGTATTGTTGCAGCCCTAGGTCCCCCAAGGAATCAAGAGGCATATGTAACTAATATCTTTTACTATATACCATGTCTCTTCAGAACGATAGCGAGCATGGCTCTCCTCAACTTCCTATCTTTTGTAATTCTAAATGAATATGGTCTATTTGTAATTTGTCCTAAGCCTTTTTCGGCCATCCATTTACTCGGGATCGTTAACTATGTTTATTCGTTGAGAAGAAAATCGAAAAATATGGAAAAAATTACGGACAAAGAAATTTGCGTCTTGAATTAAGATTTATCATTCTTTATTGGATTTATATTCGGACTATTGTCGTCGTCTTTGTTGCTGTTATCGCAACGTTTCAGCCGTTGTTCCCATCCGACCTTCTTCAGATGTATATCGATCTGTGTAACCAACAGGAAATTCTGAATCCTTTATTTAATTTATAGTTTAGACTGTTCTTTGCTCCGCTGCCTTTGTCTATAGACATCGTCTAATTTTTTAGTTTTAGGACTGCTCAGTTATTACTCGCCCGTTTCCAGTGAGTCGAAGTATACACTGTCCAGGCATTGAACTCACAATCACACTTTAATCCACTACGTCCCATAGCAAAAACAACAAGAAGCATGAGGACAATATACCGAATATAAATTCGGTTGATAATGATTGATTGATTCTACGGCTTATCAATCGCTGGCTGTTTATTTAAAGCCAGAAAATATTTTATATTGTAAGAATCTTTTCGATATAATAATAACTTAATGGTATAAGTTTTATTAATTAACCCAAAGATAGGGGGAAAAGAGGTAGGTTCATATCTTTTCCAAGGGAATTGGAACCCCCAATGCAATTAAAATTTCCAAGCCATTATCCATTGCAACACAGCCAAGGTTACAGCACCTGTTATGTTACGGGAACGGCTGTTTCTGTGTGATGTAAATCTGCAAATAATGAGAAATTAACATTAGGCAGAAAAGAGGAAAAGAAAAATAACTTAAAAGAAAAAGGAAAAACGCAAAGAAAAGAGAAAGCAAATAATTGTCAGAAAGAAAAAAAAAAATGAAAGAAAATAAGAAATGTAATGAAATAAAAAAAACGAAATGGAAATGAAAGAAAGTTACGAAAATTAGAAGGGATGAATAAAGAAATATAAAAAAAATGAGAAATAATTTAAAAAATTGAACGTCTCACCTTCCAAGAAGAAATAATATTTATGAGAAAGAAATGAAGAATAACATTTACGAATAAAAAATACGGAAAAAGAAAAGAAAGAAAACGAATAAAAAGACTGAAAATTGAAAAGCCAAAAGAGTCAAGAGACAGAAAGAGATGATAGAGAGAGAGAGAGAGAGAGAGAGAGAGAAACTGGAGAACGAAAAAGAGAAAGCGAAAGAAAATGAAGAGAAAGAGAGAAACATAAGAAAGAAAATAAGCGAAAGAAAGAGAAACGTTATGAAAAAATTGATATAAAACGAAAAACGAAAGAGAGAAACAAAGAAAAGTTTGAAGTCAAAAGAAAGAACAGGGAAAAGCATGAAAATGACTTAACTATAAAAAAAAGTGTAGTCCACCTCCCTTTGTGGTAGATGGCTCTTGCTGATAATGAGAAGAGTCTATTATAAAGTGACAAAATCCAAAATTGGGCGCGAAATAGGATACATAGATTATATACAGATAGATAGATAGATAGATAGATAGATAGATAGATAGATAGATTCAAACAGACTGAGATAGATAGATAGATAGATAGATAGATAGATAGATAGATAGATAGATGGGTTGGACAATATAATTGGAACACTTGTTAAATTCACAGAAAATTTATTTAATATGGAGTTGGTCCTCCTTTACCCTCACAGAGAGCTTTAATACGACGAGGAATTTTCAGTTATTCTTCCATTAAAACCTACTCCAGCTCTTTACGACACGATGGTGGAGGATTGCGGCTCCTAACTTGTTGCTCCAAAATGCACCACAAATGTTCAATAATATTGCTATCTTGAGATTGGGGAGGCCACTCTATGTGTTCTAGCTCACTTTCATGCTCTTCATACCAATTCTTAACCACTCGAGCGGTATGTATTGGAGCATTATCTTCTTGGAAGATGCAGTCACCATCAGGGAATAAAGTCTTGACCATTGGATGAACATGATCTCCCAAAATGTTCAGGTAATCATGCAGGGCAACTATTGGACTGAGACATTTCCAAGATAAGGCGGCCCAAAGTATCGCTGATTCACCTCTATGCTTCACTGTTGGAAGAAGGCAGTCATGGTTGAAAGCTTCTTTGGCCTGCCGCCACACATAAACTCGCCCTGAAGTTGGGAAAAAGAAACACTGAACTTGTTTGAGAATATGACTTGCTTCTATTGGTCTGCAGACCAGGCATTATGATCTCTGCACCACTTCAACCTCTTTTGAATGTTGCGAGTGAAGAGAACAGATTTCTTCATAGCGGCTCTTCCATGATATGCAGCCTTATGGAGCTCAAGGTGAACAGTTTTAGTAGAAACTGAACTATTCAGATGGTTATTCAACTCAGCAGTCACTTTGACCGCATTTGTCCGATGATTTTTTGCCACACTGCGTTTCAATGCACATCCATCCCTGTCGGTAAGTTTGCAAGTCCGGCCCGAATTGCTACGGTTGCTAGAGGTCTCGCTCTGTTTCTCGAATTGCATCAGTGTTCTTGATATGGTAGCTCTTGAAAAACCAAACAGTTCAGCAATTTTAATGATCGCGGCTCCTGCCTTGCGAGGTCCAACAATTTGCTCTTTTTTGAACTCGGAGAGGTCAGGCATTTAACTTAAATTTTA